CGGAGCGGACGGCCGTCACGGAGATCAGCTCCGTGCTCCGTCGCGGGACACCTCCTTGGGGTGCCTCTTGCAGCATCGCCAGTATAATTTCCATCACGCTGGTGAACAGAAGATAATGAATTATTTTAGTTGATAATACTATATACCCAACACACGATGCAGAAGACAGCTCCGTCGCCCGCGCCGTCAGGAGGCCCGCCTCATGCAGCGCTCCTATATGAAATATCATGAAACAAACATGCCGAGCTGAGGCCCGCTCCATGCTTAATGGAGCGCACGCTCTAAGAATGATTCCTTATCCCACGTAGTAAATGTATCGGTCTAAATATTATGTTTTATTTTTTCTAGACCTCGTACCGAAAAGTTCTAAATTATATTAATCTTCAGAAGATCTTTCTGCAACTATTTCTTGCAGCAATGTCATGTTTAGATATTGTGACCACTTGGGAAATGTTACGTTTGAAAAGAGTCTTGAAAACATCTGTTAGTAATTAACCTTAACAATAACTTAACCGGCTTCACTTGAGCATTTATTATTACCATGAAATTATGACGTCATTTTGACTATTGTAAAATGTGCACCATTTTATACCTAACCGGTAATTTAGCCGAAGCTATTACATTGTAAATTATTGATAGCTAAGGTAAGTTTTACACATTTGGCTGCTAATGACATGTAATTCTTTTTGCAGTTGCTTAGGTGTAGGCTGATTTGTCTGTGATAAATGTCGGTGTTGGTATGCAATTTCCATTTCTAACATATTTGTTGCAATCTAAAGAAAATATAACTAGAAAAAATTCCACGCGGACCAGACAGCAGACGAGACTCGAACCCGAATATTTGTTGCAGCTTGTAGACTTTTTAGTTGTGTATGTATAATTTTGTGCTGTTTTTCTATCGCACTCACTATTCGTTTTATCAAATTGTATTCAGCCTCTACTATAGAAGTTTGATTTTATAGCTTTTACTGATCCCCGATTAATTTTATATTGTGTTCTAAAATTGCACCATTTTGTAAGGATGCTGGCCATCCAGTCGTTAGTAACGATATGTTTTTTGTCTGTGGCAGCTTTTAATGCCAACTCAAACATGACAAATGTCAATCAGCCCAGTCATGCATGATAGTCGTGAAATCGTGGTGAAGTTATTATATCAATTTATGTTTGATTCTTCTTGGAATAAAATATCCACAATATTATAATTTAAAAATATAATGGGAGATGAACCAAATCATCAAATATATTGAATAGAATATATTTGATGATTTGGTAACAAAAAGTAGATCAATAAACTTGCCATTTGCCAATCAATAAGTATGTAATTATGATAAATAAATAATATTTAAAAAAAAGATGATGAAATAAATTTTAGGTTTTTGTCAAAGAATTACAATTAGGAGCACTATTTGTCATAAAAATTTGGAGTCTGTCCGAAACTTACTAAATGAGACGGTCCAAATTTGTGTGGAAGGTGACTCCATACAAATTTGAAACTTGTCATGTACAATTTTTAGTTAACATTAAATTTTACAGTCTGTAAACATTATTATGTAAAAGTCAAAACAGATGTACATACCTACTAAGTAGGTTATTTAATATTATAAGTATCGCAAGATTTGCATTTCATATAAAAAAACTGTTCATACAAATCAAACAAATCTTCATAAACTTTATACAATTTTGTAATTTAAACAGCAAAGAAGTTAAAATATTTTTAAAGTAAGTCGAGTTAATGCTTAGATAATTTGTTGTACACATTTATTTTTAGTGCTATTCCTGTACGATACCATAGTTGTTTTTTGATGGTAAGTACTTTCGCCTTTTCTATATTTCAGGTATGTTATTTACATGTATTTTCATATGTAGTAAATTATTTAATTGGTATACTACTGAAAGGGACTTAATATAAATAACGAAGCTACCGTCGTAGGTTTTGCTTTTTCAAATTAATTCCTAGCTGATGTTAAACGTCACTATCTATAGATAAATAAATAAATACTTCCAACACTCATGCCAATTAGCCTAGCTCCAAAGTAAGCACTGTAAGGCTTGTGTTTTGGGATACTAGGATAACGGATAGAATACATATCCAGTACATATATAAGTATACTAGCTGACCCAGCGAACTTCGTACCGCCATAAAAATAAGGTTTGGTGGTAGAGGGTTGAAAATTCAGGGTTATATGTATTTACTAATGCTGTATCATAAAAAAAAAATCTAAAATTGAAAAAAAAAAAATTTAGGGGTGGATTACCCTTAACGTTTAGGGGGATGAAAAATAGATGTTGTCCGATTCTCAGACTTACCCAATAAGCACACGAAATTTCATGAGAATCGGGAAAGCCGTTTCGGAGGAGTTTAACCACAAACACCGCGAAACGAGAATTTTATATATAAGATTTATATAGACACTAGCGGACCCGACAGACGTTATCCTGTCTACACGTCTTTGTGAATCTAAACCATTCTCAGATCCCCTTGAACACATACAAAAAATTTCATCAAAATCGGTCCAGTCGTTTAAGAGAAGTTCAGTGACATACACACTCACAGAAGAATTATATATATAAAGATATATGTTAAACATTCATCACTGGAGTAAAAATGCTCGTATTCATCACTCAACCATTTGCCCCCACCGGGATACGAACCCTCTCAAGTCGGCGACACCATGAAACCCGGCGTACAAACCACCCAGCCACGGAGGTCGTCAAATTTTTAGAATAGTGGGGACAGATGTATGATAGATCTTATCTGTTTATTTCCCCAAACAGTAATAAATATGGCGTTATTTACGCCATAAATGAAATAAAAATAACAGATTAGTAGTTTATTTTGGTTGTTATGGCCCAATCACCCTATTCCATCTATAAGTAAGACCTGTGTGCCAGCATATTATAGGATATTATAGGGATATTAACAGGCTTATTGATGATGATGATGAAGCGTCTATAGGCTATGCCGGCCGCATACCATCAGTCGGGCAATTTACTATTTACGTCACATTTTTGTATTAATACTAGTGGCCCGGCTAGTGAAGAGCTATAGTGTAGACTAAAATGACTCTTCCAATAATTATAAAAAAAACTGAAAAGGTTATATGTCTTTGCCTTTTCCAAACTTCTATTGACATCACGTCACTCAATTGTTTTGCCATTCCGTAACCACTTCACAAACATTTGAAATTTATGGTATGGTATTAAAGTTCAAATTGACTTTTAAGTATAATTACCAATCGTTTGTCCCATACAAAGTATAGAAAAGTGTTGTTTTTGGACATTTTCAGGCATTTTTTTTAATTTTTCTCTGCGTAAGAACCATCCTCGTACTTCAAGGAATATTATAAAAAAAGAATTATCGAAATCGGTTCAGCTGTTCTCGAGATTTGTGCTTAGCAACACATTCAGCGTTTCCTTTTTATATTAAAGATAACATAAAAGTTTCACTGTCTACAATAGGTTTGAGTTTAAAAAGAACATAATTTACAATGAAACATATACATACCTCCTTATAATAAACGAAGAATAAGCTTGGAATCTCTGTTCATTGAATGGCAAATGGCTTTTGAGTGATAGGAAGAAAACACGGTGTAACTGGTCAAAGATTATTCCGCCTTTATTAATAAGGTGGATACTGTTTACCGAACACTGCCAACGGACACGCATAAGTTCATAAAATGTAATAGGGAATGAGTTGGCAACTCGTCATTTTATTTCAGGACAAAATTACAGATCCAGCCTATGCCAAATGTATGGCGACGTTGCAGTTTAGCTAAAGTTATGTTTATACTCGTATTTATCTTTCTCATGCTGTACCATTTAAGGAAGGCCAACTTTTTGATTGCAAGGAGTAATTATAAGGAGTGTAGGCACGTAGTCGTTCCCAATAAATTATTTATTTGAACAAAATTCACATTTTACTTAAAATTATTGGCTAATGCCAATATTTTTATATTCTATTTTCAATACATATTTTTTTACGTTAGAAATAATAAATTTCGAAACACGTAATAGGAAAAGAAAAAGTCTTACTGCGTTAAGTAGAAATAAAAAATATTTTACCCATTGCGCAAGCGCTTATAGAGTTTGTCATCCTATATAAAAGACTTCAACGCGTTCCATTGGACCTAACAATAATGTAATATAGTTATGATTTTATTTATTTTTAAGCATTTAACTGCTAGATGTTTAAATCTAAAGTCCCGTCCGCTGCCTGGTCCGCGTGGATTTTTTTCTAGTAAACTTTTCTTTAGATTTAAATAATGTAATATATTTTTTATTATTTATAATCCTTCGACAAAATCAGATTAAATTTAGAGTTGTTAACAACTTAAATAGTTTTTTTAGATAGTTAACTAGTTAAATAGTTTTCTACTCGAGCAAGAATTATGTAGTCAAGCTAAAAGTATTTAAAAATCTACCTGTGCACCCGTGAGCCTTTCTCAGAATGGTGAGTGACTCGTATCGAACAATAAATAGTAGAATCCTTCGGCGGCCATTATCTTGGCATCATCATCACGCAGCCACAGTGGGAGCTTTAAAGCTGCGGGGAGGGCCGGAGCTGCGCGGGGTGGGCCGCGGGGCGGCGTGAAAGCCTCCGCCTGCTAGTGCCGCGCTGACTGCGACGCAGCCCGCATGCCGCTCTTGCCACGCGACTCAGTAGTGTATTAATGCAACCAAAACATAACTGAAAAGTGCTGTTGAATTGTGATAACCTTATTGTGGTTTTTGAACAAAGTTTTGTGACACAGTGTACCCTTTGGATTTAATCACAGCGTAAAAGATCGGTGTAGTGAGTGTCACGTGTGTTTACGAATGAATGTGACGGCGTAGGCGCAGTGGTCGCACTTTCCGTGAGATATTCGTGAGCGCGCAGGTCGTCGCGGCCATGCTGCATACCTGAGGCGAGTGAGCGCGCGAGACTGCGCGAACGGGACACAGCGAGCGTTCCCGGTACTTTGCTGACGAAGAAACAACTCTGCAATGATTCTGTCGGTGTCATGACGAGGATGGAGCGATGGCACGTTGCGCTGGTGGCGCTTGCAGCACTCGCCGGGGCACGATTATCTGCCACCGCCGAGCAAATGCAGTCCCGCGCCGTCGATACCGGCGTTGATTTTAGCGTGCCTGAAGATCAACCCGTAGGAACTATCGTGGGAATGATACCCATTAAGCCTGGATTCACTTACCGTTTCAATGAACCACCAAAAGAGTTCATTTTAGATCCCCTCTCTGGCGAAATTAAGACAAACGTCGTCCTTGATAGGGAGACTGTGGATCGCTATGCTTTTGTTGTGTTATCGAGTCAACCGACCTATCCAATTGAAGTGAGACTGAGAGTTATAGACGTGAACGATAACTATCCTGAATTCCCTGAACCTAGTATCGCCGTAGCTTTTTCGGAAAGCGCAGCAGCCGGAACGAAACTGTTACTTGATGCGGCTACTGATAAGGATTTGGGGGAAAATGGAATTACAAATGACTATAGAATAATCGACGGCGACAACGAAGGAAAATTCCGTTTGAATGTTACTGTGAATCCGAGTGGGCAAACGTCTTATTTACATTTAGAAACGACGGGAAAATTAGATCGCGAGACAACAGATTTTTATATTTTGAATATATCGGCACGTGATGGGGGAAGTCCGCCAAAATACGGATATTTACAAGTTAATGTGTCAATTTTGGATGTAAATGACAACCCTCCTATATTTGATCAGAGTGATTTTTCAGTATCTTTAAATGAAAGTGTACCTCCAGGGACGACAGTTTTAAAAGTAACAGCTACGGATAGCGATTTGGGTGACAATAGTAAAATTACATACGAAGTGACTGATACAGAAAAACAGTTTGCAGTGGATCCAGAATCTGGGGTTATAACAACTACTAAAAAACTAAACTGTCCAAAATATTGCACTAACACAACTTGTAATATGACTTGCGTACTTACGATAATTGCTAAGGATCACGGTGTGCCACGACAAGATGCAAGAACATACGTTACAGTAAATCTTATTGACGCAAATGATCATGATCCTGTGATTACTTTTACATATGTCCCTCCAACGGCTAACTTTGCTACAGTTGATGAAAATGCAAAAAATGGTTCTTTGGTGGCAGCTATAACGGTTACAGATTTAGACGCAGGTTTAAATGGTATTACCAGTATAAGCATAGTAGCAGGTAATGAGCTCAACCATTTTCGACTAGAAAATTCTTCAAGTGTTTATATTGTTCACGTAAATGGTGTTTTGGATAGAGAAGAAATAAGTAAGTACAATTTAACTGTAGTTGCCAAGGATGAAGGTACACCATCAAGAACATCTACCTCATATTTAGTAATACATGTTAATGATGTCAATGACCATGAGCCCGTGTTCGAAAAGTCTGAATATTCCACCATTCTAAGCGAACTTGTCCCATCAGGAACTTATGTTGCTAGTATTACTGCTACAGACGAAGATAGCGGAGTAAATGCTGAAATTTATTATGATTTTTATGATGGAAATCAGCAACAGTGGTTTATGATTGACCACTTAACTGGATTAGTTACTACGCAATCCACACTGGATCGTGAAATTCAAGGAACAGTTGAACTTAATGTTTCGGCTAGAGATGGCGGTCCCAACCCAAAATGGGCATACACTAGGCTAAAAGTTACTATATTAGATGAAAATGATAAAGCACCCACATTTCCACAGTCACAAATTAACGCAACTGTTTATGAAAATATTAAACCCATAAAAGAGATCATGATATTGACTGCTTCTGATAACGACCAAGGTACAAATGGATCAGTTTCTTATTATTTAACACCAAACATAGAAAGAAAATATCCAAATACGTTCATTTTAGATCCTATCACTGGGCAGTTAAGTGCTATTGTCGAGTTAGACAGAGAAAAAATTCCTATGTATGAAATACAGGTCCTTGCCAAAGACCAAGGCTTTCCGCCTCAATCATCAACTGCTACAATATTTCTTAAAGTATTGGATGTTAATGACAACTTCCCTATTTTTTATCCACAACGTTACATAGAAACTATTAATGACGAGGTCCCTATTGGTACAAATATTTTGCATATAAAAGCATTCGATTTAGACGAAGGAGATAATGCAAAAATAATGTACAAACTAGAAAGTGGTGGTAACGAATACTTTGACGTAGACCCGATGACAGGGTATATTACACTGCAAAAAGATTTCCGAAAATCTCCATATAATTCATACACTTTAAATATATCATGTAAAGATAAAGGCAATAAAAGAGCTCGTGAGAATGCAATTGTAGAAATTGTGAAATCTTCTCATCAAAAAAGCATCAAATTTGATGGATACAATGGTTATCGCTTCAAAATTGTAGAAGATGAAGGGACATCTAAGCCAGATCTTGGGCGCTTTGTAGGAAAAGTTAATGCGAAAATTTCAAGTGATACGTTATCATATTTTATTATCGAAGGTGACCCTAAACGAATTTTTATAATTGATGAACGAAGTGGTATTATAACTACAAATTCAAATGTAGATAGAGAAGATAAAATGACTTACAGTTTAAAAGTAATGGCTAAGAGTGGGGTCTCCTTTGGTTTCACAACCGTTAACATATCAGTGCTGGATGTAAATGATAATTACCCATCATTCATTGAAGACAAAGATGAAGTTCATATTCCGGAAAACATGGCAGTTGGACAAGAAGTTTACTTTGCAAGAGCTATAGATCGTGACTCTGGATCTAACCGCACAATATTTTATAGCTTGAGCAACAGTGATAACAGTTTCAGAATATCAGAAACCACAGGAGTAATTTATTTGAATAAACCTATCTCCGGTGAACCCGGTTTTGTTATGAATATAGAGGTTACCGCTGCTGACAACGGAAATCCTTCACTTGCTACGAAACATACAGTATCCGCTATAATCTATGATGTTAATGATCATACGCCTGTTTTTGATCACACCTCATATGAGACCTCTTTGTTAGAATCAACGCTAGTCAACAGCAGATTTTTTGCAGTATCTGCTTCAGATGCTGATTTAGGATTAAATGGCCAAGTTTCATATTCAATAATTGAAGGCAATACCGATGGAAAGTTTGGCATTTTCCCTGATGGGTTTCTGTATGTAAAAAGTACTCTAGATCGAGAAGAAAAAGATTATTATTCTTTAACACTGATGGTGTCTGACCATGGTACACCTCCTAGGTCATCTCAAGTTCCTCTAGTCATACATGTCTTAGATGAAAACGACAATAGTCCACAATTTACAAACACAACTTTTGTCTTCAAAATAAAGGAAAATGAACCACCCGATACATTCGTTGGTAAATTAACAGCAACTGATAAAGATATAGGACGTAATGCAGAACTAACTTTCAGTTTACCTGTAGCACAAAGCGACTTCCGGATTGATTCCAGGAATGGATTTATAAAAACTCTGAAATCGTTTGATCGTGAAAGCATAGCTCACAGTACAGGTCAAAATTTTATTACGTTGACAGTTACAGTGAGTGACAACGGCAAACCAAAACTATCCGACTCAGTCAGAGTTACGATTTATATAACTGATGTCAATGATAACGCTCCGATATTTATGAGAACACCATACAAAGTCGAAGTCTCAGAAGGAGCTGCAGTGGGTGCCTCAATTATGCGTGTATATTCAACGGATGCAGATGAAGGTCTCAATGGTGACATTTACTATAAACTGACTGGTGGCGATGATATGGGTCAGTTTTCATTAGACGAAGCAACAGGACAGCTTTTTATAAGTAAACCTTTAGATCGTGAGACTATCGACAGATATCAACTTACAGTTTTGGCTCATGATTATGGTCAATTAGTTCAACTGTCCGTTTCTACTACCATAACAATTGATGTTCTGGACGAAAACGACAACGCACCTGTTTTTTCTCAGTCAAATATGAAAGTGTCAGTCTTAGAAACTGAACCAATAAATAAGAAAATTTGTCAGTTTCATGCTACCGATGCTGACTTAGGAGTTAACAGTGAGTTGCAATTTTCTATTACGTCTGGAAATAGAAAGGATGCATTTTTTATTGACAGTTATTCAGGTGAGCTTTTCTTACACAAACAACTGGATTATGAAGATTTAACCTCATACGTCTTAGTTATTACGGCGACAGATAATGGCAACCCAAACTTGTATTCAAGTATTTCATTTACGGTGAACGTTATAGATGCCAATGATAATGCACCAGTATTTACTAATACTGCAATTGTACGTCAAATTAGAGAAGGAATTCCGAAACATACACCTATAGTTACGGTAACTGCAGAAGACCCAGATTCTGGTTTGAATGGGAAAGTTTATTATTCTATCACAAGACAAGATCCAATAGACAGGAAACGCCATTTCGCTATAAATAATGTCACTGGGGTAATACACACATTATTATCAATTGACAGAGAAAGCATTGATACATTTCGAATTACTGTAGTTGCTTATGATCGCGCCGAGCCACCTTCAACGAGATTATCAGCAGAGAAGTTAGTGACTGTTATTGTTGAAGATATTAACGATAACGCACCCGTTTTTGTATCCATGAACGCTGCAGTCATAAATATGGACCGAATGGGTAGAAGTGTTGGACGAGGTATATTTATAATGAATGTTTTGGCACGAGATTTAGATTCTGGAACGAATGGTCTGGTTACTTATAAACTCATACATGGAGGAAGCGATCTTTTTGATTTACATAGGAGTAACGGTGCTCTAGTTTTACGGTATCCTCCGTCAGTGCCTGAAGCTAGGTGGAGTTTAGTTATTAAAGCTACGGATGAGGCAGTGTTAAGTGAACAGAAAAGTACTGAAACATACCTTAGTGTTATTTTGGGTGGAACAGAGTTAGAAGGTGTTACCTGGACAAACGTGAAATCAGTTTCTGTGGCTGAAAACGAGCCGGCAGGAACTGCTGTGCTAAATTTAACAAATAATTATAAATCTGTATTAGAGTATTACATAGTGAATGTGACTGGCGAAGGTAAACAAGTGGACCGTTTGTTCGATATAGATTCGTCGTTAGGAATTTTATCTACGGCTGTTTCTTTGGATCGTGAGTCTGGTGCAGACAGATATGAAGTGGAAATTTGCGCAGTGTCATCCGGGACGCCGCTCAAGAGTACAAAAACTAAGGTATGAACATTTTCAATTATGTTTATAATAACTTCTGATAAGTATGCTGGATTGCGAGTTAAAGAAAAAACATAGAATGTCCTTGTAAATGAATATTTAAGGTTAGAATGACAAATATATAAAAACATGGTCAAACTCCTGATACAACCATTACTGAGGTAAGCTAACCAGTAATCAGGGTAGATCTTTAACAACTTTTAAAAAATCTTCACCGTGAATTTTGAGTTGCCTTAGAAACTTAACATTTACTTAATAATTATGCAATGATGCAAACTCATCAATTTTAATTGTCATAACTTGATTGAAATAAAACTACTTTTAGTATTTACGTACTTTGTGCGATATGTTAATTACATTTTGTAAATGATATTTTTTTTGTATGGGGGTGTTGTACGTTTACTGTTTATAACTTCTTCCAAAATTTTCTTTATACGATTTTTAAGTTTAGGTAACTCATATTTCAGGTAACTCAAAATTCACGGTGTACTTGGAAATTTAATGACTGCAATATTGTAGCATACATCTTTTTTTGTTTCGATTTTTTTTGATAATTAGAAATTACCTGACCGTTTCTGTGTCATCGAGAATAAATAAATATCTTTCCCTACGAATCGTAGCGCAACAGTTTTTATATGAACTTTGAAGAAAACGTAATTGGAAATTGATGATATTGAATTGATCTTAAAATTAGCACCCCTTTCACTATCAAGTTCACTGTAACTGAGATCAGCAATCCGCGCGAACAATCCAATTAACTTTCGAAATCGTCTGTAGAAGACAAAAGCTCGGCAGCATACGGTTGTTAAAAATAAAAGTAAAATAAAACGAATGCTCGTTAGTGTACATTGGGTGGTGCGACCTAATCGGAGGCTCTAAATTACGATAAGTCTGTCCCGAACGATATCCCGACACTCGCTCTGTACTCGTCTCGAGATTAACTATACGCGAAATACTTTTTTGTTGATTATAAAAAACGCAGAAAATTATTCCACTTCACCTGATGTTAACTTTAAGTAGAGTTCAGCCTCAAAAATAGCTGATGAGGTAATAAGTGGGCATTTCCATCCATCCTCAAATTGAGAGGAGACACTTTTAGAAAAAAAACCGGGTAAGTGTGAGTCGGTCTCGCGCACGAATAGTTCCGTTCCATTATCTATACAACATTAGACATTATATTATATCTTGCAAATAACGGCAAAAAAATTACGTCTGTTGTATGGGAGCCCCCTTTATATATTTTATTTTTATTACTATAAGTTATTCCATATTCTTTTCAAACTTTTAGACGCTGTACTTTTGGAGATAAGTTAAAGGAGATTACTCAAATTGGCCAAAATGTACAAAAAATATTGACATATACTGTAATTTTTGGCGTAATTTATACTTTATTTTACAGTCATTAGATTTTAACGGACACCTTCGTATAATATATTCATTTTAAAAAGGTCTTTTAATTTTACCGGTTTGGAAAACAGACGAATCATTTTTAATGGCTATGGGTGTAGTAACATTCAGCCAAAGACTGATCGAAGTTGTTTATGTTATATAAACATCATCAAAACAAATCTATTTTGTAAAGATGGATAAAATAAAACTTTTTTTTATTACACTGTAGTATTAATATCCACAACTATATTATCATTTTCACTACATGCAAATGTGCGAAGACAATTATTATTGATGGTAGGCGACATCATAAAGTCTATTGCCATACATTTTTCGCCAAATACTTCCATAACACATTATAAGGTGTGATACACTAAAAATCGAAAATATGGATAAAATATAAACATAACAAAAATAATGAAGCTTAACTAACTAAATTAACGAGAGTTTAAAAATTCTCTCTAATCTGTGGCTCATTCACAATCATTACACAGTTTCTGTCACAGAGTACCTTATTATATCCGGAAATGCATAGATGGTACCTGATTTTAAAAGTTATTCTTGTAACTTTATAAACAGGCAACTATCTGTTAATCTACCTGCTCTATATACCTGAATCTAATACGTAATTTCAGTACTTGGCTTGATTTCCCTAGTTTACAATATAACTTATTTGTTTTTTATTATTTAATACCAATGTACCTATTAAAATCATTCAGTGTATATGATTTATAGAAGTTCTCAGGGGTGTCCGTCAATAATATTCGTTTCTACAGTAATTTTTATATAATTTCGAATCTAGGAAACAATTTTTCAAGATTATTGGTCTTCAGGCCAAACATGTATGGAAGCTGAGCAATCTCCTTTACGTAATAATTTTTAAATTTTCATTTTACATTACTTAGTAAAAAAACCGACGGGTTGCAGTCTGGGAGTGCCGGCAGAAGTGAAAACTTGAATATTAACGTTGTGCATTCTTGATATTTTTGAATAGTTAGGGAATAGTTTTGCACGAATTGCTTTAATTATCAGTATAAATGTAGTATCATTTATGTGGTAGAATACAATATTTATTTATTGCGCTATCGTAGGTACACAAACATGACAATTTATATTACATTAAAGATTTAATTTCTCAGAAAAATCAACTTACATGAACCACATTTAAGCGCACCTAGCGACATCTATTGCATAAAAAAGCATTTTCTTCGCAATAAAGCTGCCACCTGGACGTCCTTATTAGAGACTTATTATAATAATACGATAAAATAAAATATTACTATGTTTCGTCCAATATATTGAAAGTCAACAACCTTTCCAATTTTATTGTTTTCGTCTTACGAATTTTCGATTAGGTCACGTGTCCTGACACGATCAGGCCACGTGTCCAGATGCGAGTTTAACAGTTTTTACCCATCACAAAAAAGTGTACAACGCCCCTTAAGAAGTTTTCACTTCAAAACTATGTTTGAACTCTTCATATTGAGCCCTTTCATTTGATATGTAATACGGTACAGTTCTAACTTTTAATTTTCTAATTCACCCCCCAAAAGTAACCACTTTACACTTACCACTTCTTTATTTACTTTATTCGTCCATGTTTGGGTCACAAATATACAAGTATGTACGAAATTTTAACTTGATCGGTCCAGTAGATTCCGAGCAATTAGACTGTGACAGGCACACAGACAGCCGACTGATCCTATAAGGGTTTCATTTTTGATGATTAAGATACAAAACCCTAAATAAAAATTGAAGAATTTTGTTTTACTGAAATATAACCTATGTTGGGGTCTGAATTGACTACGAAACTTTGTCAGGTGCCTAACTCAAAATTTACAGTATATTTATAAATTACTTAGGCTCACTTGCAGCAAATTTGCTAAATCGTTATTCAAGTAAAACTAGCTTCAACGCATAGAAAAATGTCAAAACGTAAGTATCAATTTGTCATAATTGTATAGACTAAATCTAGTTCTAGTTAGACGATCTACCTTAGACGTTTCTTAAATGTTACAAACTTCAGAAATGATTACAATGTGTTTTTTTTCTTCATAACTATTTAACCTCACATAACTCCAAGTCGTAAAAACAAAAAAATTCGCAGAAGTAAGTTACTGCCTACACGTGGAATATTTTTCAAATGTTAAAACAGTTTAACCTTCGAACCTAAAAACTGATTCAGAGCCGAGTTTCAAAAGCAATTTTCTTAAATGTCCGAGGAAAAGGAACAAAACTGCCTAAAAGTGGTCGCAAGCTCGTAAAAGATGTCGTCACATAGCATTACGATACTGTCCCTCACTTTAAGACTTTTAAAATGGTTAACTTCAGACACATTACATGTATCTCTTACCGTATAACTATTTATAGGATTATGGCATAATAACTTTTGAGTTAAATTTCAACTATTACAAAGAAGTTTGTCGTCAACTGGTTTGAAATGCTTTTTAATACTTTTACTCTTTGGATGCGAAACGGAGAGTTATTAAAAAAAAACGAGCGAGCCTTACAGTAGTCACGTATAATATATAACATTTGAAACTTCACCTTATATTAGTTAAAAAAAGAAATAAAACCTACTACAAAAGGAATTAATTATGACATCTGAACATTATGTTCTAAAATTAAATCAACTAGCGCGCGCCTTCGCGATTTCTGTTACACACTTTCGTGCCATTTCACGAAATCACTCCCACAAATTGAAGGAAAGCGAGATGAAAGATGTTACACATCAAAGAGTATTAAGAAACGCATTTTAAGCCCGTTGAAAAGTAGTTTTATTTATTATTAATTTCATCTTGTTCTCGCGGGTTTAAACACCTGCCTGTGGAAGTAATTTCCACCTAATAGAAGACCACAACGGAATACCAGTCCTTTTTAGATAGTATTGATAGGAGAATTTTGTTTGGTCAATTCAAAAGAATTGTATTGTGCGTCCGGTTTGAATAGAGATAGTTTAAATTTGACTTTAAATATTGCCAATTCTACAAGGGAACTTTAGCTATTAGGCTACAAAATTTACTGGAATGTTCGATTATTACATCTACTTAACATTTAAATTTTACAATTTAGATGAGTGTTTATATAGATAGTGATTTTCGAACAAATTTATTAATACTGGCAGAACCGTTATCTTTAACTACCGGCCGACCAACGACAGAGCAGCGTCAGAACGAGGTGTATAATAAAAGTGTGTATTAAAACTTTAATCTTGCTTATTTGAATGCACGAATCGAATATCTTATTTAAAAACGGGGCCCGTGTAAGTGAGAAACGTCACATTTGCCGCAAAATATTTTTTCATAAAACGTGTAGTCGATTTTAATGAGGGTTCTGGGTTATTTTAAGTAGGTAACATAACATTACTAACGGTTCCAGGGAAGTCAATTTATATTTTAAGTTTGAATAAAATGTTTATTGTCTCTTTCTTTGCTATGGCAATACAATGAGACAATATGACATTTAATTTCTGAGTACAAAAGTTAGTTGTTTCGTTTTTAATAATAATATTTCTACGTTTGTGGACATTTTCTCTTTTCGTCGTATTTAAAAATCTCATTTTATTTTAAGCGGAGTCTAAACTATGTAAACTTTGGGTAATTCTTGTCAGCTTGTCAGGC